CCGGGTTGCGTTATGGGTAACATTAGGGGGTTAGAGTTGATTTTGGCACTCCCTCTGATCCTAACAAATCGTGATTCTAACCTTGCTTACTGTATTAGGATCAGAGGGGAAGAGAAGCTTGTAATGTGTTTCTCTTTAATTTTATCGTCTTTGGGCAATAGGCAGGCTGTTGGGGTCAGAAGAAAAGCTGGAGGTGAAAAGCTCAAAGTCTCTCTGAAAGTATCGGGTCTAGTAATAATTAATGTCGTTTTTCAACATTCGTTTAAAATCTTGCTTGGCGTTGACTTGTATTGACATAACCTTCAAACATGTGGTATCTACAGAACGTGTGAAGTGCAATTAACAAGTTTTGCTTGAAAAAGTTTGTGTTTGGTTTTTGTTGCAAAACTAGGGCTAAGAAGATGGCGGATGAAGAGCATATTCGGCACTGCATGCTTTACGAGTTCCAATTAGGAAGAAAAGCAAGAGAGGCTGCAAAAAACATCTGTAGTGCTCTTGGTCAAGATGCAGTTAGCGCCAGAAAATGCCAGCGTTGGTTTGAGAAATTTCACAAGGGAAATTTTTCGTTAGATGACAAGAGTGGTCGAGGCCGTGTGTCCAATTTTGATCAAGAAGCTCTTCAAGCTCTTTTGGTGCAAAATCCTCAAATTACCCAACAAGAGCTTGTGACAACTTTAAATTGTTCACAAAAAACAATTTCCAATCAATTGCGTGCACTTGGCAAAGTCCAAAAGTTTGGAAAATGGGTTCCTCATGAGTTGACCGACAACAACCGTAATCAAAGATTCACAATTTGCAGTTCGCTCCTCTCTCGTCAAAACCGTTTGCCGTTTTTAGAGCAAATTGTTACTGGAGATGAACAATGGGTGCTGTATGTTACCGTATTTTTCAGACCATAAGACGCACTTTTCCCCCCCCCAGAAGTGGGGGGGAAAAGTCCCTGCGTCTTATGGTCCAAATATAGCCTACACATATACTTTAAAAAAAAAGTTTTTTTACTTGCCCGGCTCTGTGTGGTCTCTGTGTGCTTGCCCAGCTCTAAAATGGTTCTAAATGCTGCTGTTTACTTTACAGTAGGGGTGTCGAACTCAATCAGAGAAGGGGCCAAAATCTAAAATCCAGCCTAAATCGCGGCCGACTGGTTTACTGAACAGTCATAAACTGTCATTGTGATGGAAACGCAGCGGAGTGCAGTGATGACAGCGCGGTGCGGGCCACATTGCAAGGCCTGGCAGGACGGATTTGGCCCGCGGGCCTTGTGTTTGACACATGTGCTTTACAGGGTTGATTACGTGTTTATGACTGTGATGTTGGGTTTTAATGCACATAAAATATTTTAGGACACTTTGTTTCAGAATCTTTTTTTCTTCATTTCCCTTCTCTAAAAACTGGTGCGTCTTATGGTCTGGAGCGTCTTATGGTCCGAAAAATATGGTAATTTGAAAAGGTGGCCTCAATGGTTGGACAAAAATGAGGCTCCGCAGCCCACGCCAAAACCTGACTTGCATGCGAAAAAAGTGATGTTGTCTATTTGGTGGAATTTTAAAGGAATTCTTCATTATGAACTTTTACCATCTACCCAAACCATTACAAGTGCAGTGTATAGTGCCCAATTGGAAAGGTTAGCCCAAGCTTTAAGAGAAAAAGAACCCGCGCTGATTAATCGCAAGGGCGTAATTCTTCACCACGATAACGTACGACCGCATACTGCAAGAATCACTGCTGAAAAACTGCGCCAGTTGGAATGGGAAGTTCTCCGTATAACCTGCATATTCTCCTGATATTGCCCCTTCCGATTACCATTTGTTTTGTTCTTTGCAAAACTTTCTTCTTGGAAAAAAATTTAATAATGAAGAATGCCTCAAAAATGCATTGACCGAATTTTTTGCATCAAAATCACAAGAATTTTACAACAGAGGGATTAAAATGCTTCCTGAGCGTTGGGCACAAGTAGTAGAAAACAACGGCAACTATATTGTTGATTAAATTTTGTTGTATTGTTTAAATAAATTCGATTTAAAAAAGTATTAGAAAACGACATTAATTATTACTAGACCTAATATCTAGAGGGCTGGTATTGATTGATTTTGCTCCAAGTGTGATCCAGACATCAGCACATCAACATCACCTGGGATAGTTTTAGAACTGTGGGTTCTGAGTCCCCATCCTTGACCGTGAGGTTTATAACTGTTGGGGGTGAGACATAGGCAGCTGTATCTTCATGGGTCTCCAGGCTCATGGGCCCTTACAATTTGAGAAGTACTGGTAGAAAGGACTGACTTTGCATTTTCACAACAATATTGGCTGTTTCCCTCTGGCCAAATCACACCTCCTTCAGAGGCAGCTGTCGGGACGCTCTCTCCCTTTCGGCTGAGGTCTCTCCTGAAATGGAAGAGAAGCGTTCCATGGCAAAAACTCATTCCGTACCAGCCCTCCCACCGGCTCTGTTGTTCTTCAACGCCTCTCTCCCTGTGCCACTGGACTTTTATTTCCCTGGCACCCCTTTTCAGTGTCAGCTCCAGGAGATCAAGGTCTTTGCTTTGAATTTTGAAGGGAGTGATCCTTTATTTTTAGATATTATTTATTTCAAACATTTACAATTTTTATTATAAATGCAAAACAACTGATAAGAAGAAAAAACATTGAGAACGTATCACACTAGTAACCCTTTGCTGCATAACAGACGCCAGCCTTCGGTTTTTGCTTTAGGTAATTAGGTAAAAAAAAAAAATCTCAAACTATTATTTCTCTCCAGAAGAAACAAAGTAGAGGTATTCTGTTTAACAGGTGTGTACTCTCCGTCCAAACACGGTTCCTCTATGAATGAACAGCCTTGCTCCATGCTGTTCCAGTGCTTTCCTTCTAAAGCAGGTCTTCATTTGAACCGATGTTCATAAAACTGGCAGTGTTTAGCCGAAACCGGTTTGGCTCAGTGGTAGAGTATCGGTCTGCGGACTGAAAGGTCCCTGGTTCGATTCCGGTCAGGGGCATGTACGTTGGTTGTGGGCACATCCCCAGTAGGGGGTGTGCAAGAGGCAGCTGGTCGATGTTTCCCTCTCATCGACGTTTCTAGCTCTCTGTCTCTCTTCTTTCCTCTCTGTAAAAATCAATAAAATATATATTTTTTTAAATTTAAAAAACAAAAACAAACTGGCAATGTTTATAAATGCGGAGCGCTCCACGAGTTTGAGTGTCCTCCTTGGGCCATGCTGATCCTCTCTGTCTCATCTTGGTTTTGGTTAATGTGCTGCCGGAGTGAGCACGGAAGGGTTTCTTGATGTGCTGGCTCCTACCAGTGTCCCTGGCCCCAGCCTCTTCCCCCTCAGACCTCTCCTGTCCGCTGGGGGAGTGATCTGTTTCCAGCACAAAAGAAACCTTCCTCTGTCTGACCTTCATCCCAGTCTCTCAAGCCCTCACGTCTCTTCCCATGAGCCCTTAAACTCTATTTTTGTCTTTAAGCAGCAACCAGGAGACAAGATCCAGAAAACTGGCCCTGATGTGAGATCTGGAGTCAGGGCCCACCTGCCTCTTGACCTCCGTGCGCCTCAGCTTCCTTCTCTGTGAAATGAGAGCAGCGGTCACCGTCGTCCCTTCCTGAGAACTTCCTACCATGCCAGGTAGTGTGCCAGGGAATTGCACGGATTCGCTCATTTATTCCCCACAAGAATCCTGTGCCTGACATCCCGTTATCCCCGTATTACAGCTGAGAACAGGCACAGAGGGGTCAGCGATCGGAGCAAGGTCACACGCCTGGGACAGCAGTAGGTTCTTCACAGGTACCCGGATGCAACATGCATGCCAGATGCTTCTCAAGGTCCCTACCATGTCCCTCATGCTTATTTCATGTTGAATACTGCCATTTTCGTTGTAGCATTTAAATGACATATTGATCACCAGGCTTATGGTTAAATGAATCCTGCGGCATCACAGGTTTTTCATTTCTCTTCACCTCTGTGATAGTTTTTGTTAGGACCTGCTGCTAACAAAGTAAATTTGGCAAGGAGTGAATAGCTTATTTTTTTAAATCCTCACCCAAGGATGTTGTGTTTTTAGGTTTTTATTTTTTATTTTTGGGGTGTTTTTTTTGTTTGTTTTGTTTTTTAAATTATTTTAGTGAGAGGGAGAGAGAGAGAAACATTGATGTGAGAAAGAAACATTGATCCTCTGACTCCTGTGTGTGCCAAGACCTGGGACCAAACTCACAAGCTTTTGGTATACAGGACGGCCCTCCAGCCAACAGCCGCACCTGCCAGGCTAGGACTCATTAGCTTAAAAAAACAGTTATTTGTATAGGCAGATGCATAGAGAAAGAATAGTGTTGAGACATGGGTCGACCAGATGTCCTGGCCCCGACTCAGTCTCTGGCAGTGGATAGAGTGATTGGGTGACCAGTTGTCTGTGCAGATGAGATGAGTGGTTGAAGACAAGGGGCTGGGGGCGGGGGTGGAGCCTCAGAGCAAATAAATGTTGCCAGAATTTTTTTTAAAAAAATAGTGTTGAACAGAGGCTGGGGGGTGGGGCAGGGTGGAGAGTTATTGTTTAATGGATAGTTTCAGTTTGGGATGGTGAACAATTCCTGCAGATGGAGGGTGGTGATGGTTGCACAACAATATGAATCCATTTAATGAACTATATACCTAAAATGGTTAAATAGTAAATTTTCTTACGTATATTTTATACAGGAAGAAATTGTCTACTCTTAAATATTTTTGCAAAAGCATCAAATTAAGTATGTGAAAGCAAGAAATAATGACATGTATTAGAGGTCATATGAAAGTCACAGAACAGAACAACCACCTGAAGGCTCCACTGACAGGAACCATTTGTGAGACCGGTTTTATGATACTTCTTTTCTTTTTCTTTTCTCTTTTTAATATAGATTCTATTGATTTCAGAGAGGAAGGTAGAAGGAGAGAGTGATAGAAACATCAATGATGAGAAAGAACCATCGAACAGCCGCCTCCCGCACACCCCACACTACGGATGGAGCTAGCAATCCAGGCAAGTGCCCTGACTGGGAATCGAAACACGACCTTCCATTCATAGGTTAACGCACAACCACTGAGCCATGCCAGCTGGGCATATGTTACTTGCTTTTCTGCTGCTACCAGTAAGATGCCTTGAAAGTGTTGTTTGAGCCTCCTGCCTACCACGTTATTCTTACAACAATCCTATGCTCTAGGCACTGTGAATCCCTCCGTTTCACTGGTGAGGGAATGAAGGCATGAAGACAGTAATCATTTGCTCGGGGTTTCACAGCTCCTAAGTGGCAGTGTCATTTGGCCCCAGGAATTCCTTCCCTGCCCTGTGCCTCTGCCCTCAGTGTCCACTCTCCCAGAGCTGGAACCGCCCTGAGGGCTGCATGCACTTGCATCCGGCCACCGGGTGGGGTTGGGCGGGTAGCTCACTGCGAGGCTCTTGGCCTCAGGTGCTGGAACGCAGTCTGCACTCTGCTCCTCAGGGCACAGGCGCAGTGGGTGTGTTCACAGGGAGTGTGTTCAGGGTCACATAAAGCAGCCATTGGGGTTAGTGACAGCCTTGGCCAGAATCTAACGTCGTTTTCCTTCTTCCCCCGTGTGCCTTCCCAAGACTCAGCCCTTCCCGAGGAGGAGGAGGACAGAATGGCCAAGTTCAAGGTGAGTTGGGCTTGTCATCTCATTTCTCAAAGATTAGACACAGGCTGTTTCTTTTTCTTGGAAGGATTAAAGAGAAAAGTAGGCATTCAGGCCCTTTTATGTGCCAGAGGTTTTTTGTACCTCAGATTCTCATACCCCTGAGCAGACGTCTCACTGAATTGCTGTGAGATCCCAGAACTGCTTTCAGTGCCGCCCTCTGCCCGAGTCTGGTTATGCACCGAGGTCATCTATGTTCGGGGCCGTAGGAGGCGGTGACCTTCCAGGACGTGGCTGTGGTCTTCACGGAGGAGGAGCTGGGGCTGCTGGACGCTGCCCAGAGGAAGCTGTACCGGGACGTGACGCTGGAGAACTTCCGGAACCTGGTCTCCGTGGGTGAGGACGGGCCCTGTGATGGACCTGAGCCCCCTGTGCTGTGTGTGTCCTTGATGGGTGGGGCTTTGGAGCCCTGTGGCTGGTTGCCAGTTTTCTTTTCTTTTTTTAAGGTTTTTAATATATATATATATATATATATATATATATATATATATATATATTTATTTATTTATTTATTTATTATTATTTTTTTTTTAGCCGAAACCAGTTAGGCTCAGTGGATAGAGTGTCGGCCTGCAGACTGAAAGGCCCAGGGTTCGATTCCGGTCAAGGGCATGTACACTGGTTGCGGGCACATCCCCAGTGGGGGGTGTGCAGGAGGCAGCTGATCTATGTTTCTCTCTCATCGATGTTTCTAACTTTCTATCCCTCTAACTTCCTCTCTGTAAAAAAATCAATAAAATATATTAAAAAACAAAAAACAAATATATATATATATATATATATATATATATATATATATTTAATTGATTTAAGAGAGGAAGGGAGAGGGAGAGAGAAATAGAAACATCAAACATCAATGATGAGAGAGAACCATCGACTGGCTGCCTCCCCCACACCCCACACTGGCAAGTGCCCTGACTGGGAATCGAACCACGACCTCCCGGTTCATAGGTCAATGCTAAACCCCCAAGCCACGCCAGCCGGGCATACATTTTTACAACAATCCTATGCTCTAGGCACTGTGAATCCCTCCGTTTCACTGGTGAGGGAATGAAGGCATGAAGACAGTAATCATTTGCTCGGGGTTTCACAGCTCCTAAGTGGCAGTGTCATTTGGCCCCAGGAATTCCTTCCCTGCCCTGTGCCTCTGCCCTCAGTGTCCACTCTCCCAGAGCTGGAACCGCCCTGAGGGCTGCATGCACTTACATCCGGCCACCGGGTGGGGTTGGGCGGGTGGCTCACTGAGAGGCTCTTGGCCTCTGCACTCTGCTCCTCAGGGCACAGGCGCAGTGGGTGTGTTCACAGGGAGTGTGTGCGGGGTCACATAAAGCAGCCATTGGGGTTAGTGACAGCCTTGGCCAGAATCTAACGTCGTTTTCCTTCTTCCCCCATGTGCCTTCCCAAGACTCAGCCCTTCCCGAGGAGGAGGAGGACAGAATGGCCAAGTTCAAGGTGAGTTGGGCTTACCTGTGTAGGTTTTAAATTTTCATCTTATTTTTCAAAGATTGGACACATCCTGTTTCTTTCTCCTGGAAGGATTAAAGAGAAAAGTAGGTATTCAGGGCCTTTTTATGTGTCAGATCATCACTACTTTTTATTTTAGTGTAGGTTAATTTCTACCAGAGAGAGAGAGGAACATTGATGTGAGAGAGGAACATCGACGGGTTTCCTCCATACCTGCCCTGACCAGGAATTGAACCCACAACCTAGGTATGTGCCCTGACTGAAAATAGAACCCTCAACCTTTTGGTGTGTGGGATGATACTCTAAGCAGCTGAGCCTCCTGGCCACGACTCATCTGTGATTTTATTACAAAGAAACAGGATTATAAAACTTCAGAAAACTGTTAAGTTCACACCAGTGATTCTTAATCAGGGGCAATTTTGCCTCCAGTGAACACCTGGACACATTTGGTGTCATCACTGAGGACTGCTACTGGTGTCTCGTGTGCAGAAGGTAAGGATTCTGCTAACATCCTACACACAGGACAGCCCCACAGTGAAGAGTGACCTGGCCACATACGTCAGTGAGGGATGAAAGATCATGCTGTGCTCAAGGCTATATAAGACTAATAATGAAATGTGGGTGGAAGTATTTATAAAGCATGCTGTAAAGAAACAAAACTTAACTCTCCAATAGAAATTTTACAATGATAACGTAAAAAATCCCAATCAGTCTGAGCAAAGAAAATTAACAGGCAGGTACTAAAGAAAAAGTAAAGCTGACCCGTAAATATATGAAAATATGATGCACTTATTATTATATAAGTGCAAATAACCAACATACATTGTATTTACTGATCAGATTACCAATGATTTTAACACATTTGTTGGCCCGGACCATATAGCTCAGTTGGTTAGAGCATCGTCCTGATACACCAAGGTTGTGGGTTTGATTCCCGGTCAAGGCACGGACAGGAATCAACCAGGGGGTGCAGGGTGGGGGCCGAGGTAGAGCTGCCCCCTGGCCAGGAAGACCCTGGCTGAATCCGGGACCAAACACAGAGCGCTTCCTGCCTGCTGGAAACCCTCAACTCCGTGCCCCCAAGGCCTGGCCTCCCTGCGGGAATGGTCAAAAATGAGACTAGGGGTGTGTGTGGGGGGGAATGGTGTGGGGAGGCAGTAGGGGGTCAAAACACATATGTAACCCCTTAACGAAGGAAGGAAGGAAGGAAGGAAGGAAGGAAGGAAGGAAGGAAGGAAGGAAGGAAGGAAGGAAGGAAGGAAGGAAAAGAGAGAGAGGAAGGAAGAAAGAAAATAAAATGAGTTTCAGGGAGGTGCATTTATTGAAATCTTTAGAGCTCAGGGAGAAAATCCTGGAGCAAAGTGGAAGATCCTTGGAAGTCTGTCTGTGGTTTGGAAACAGTTGGATAAAGAAGGGAAAAGGTTTGGTTTGTCCTGGAAGGCAGCAGCCAGACGAACAACATTCCGTTCCCGAAGGAGAATAAGCAAACCCAGAGGTTTTTTGTACCTCAGATTCTCATACCCCTGAGCAGACGTCTCACTGAATCGCTGTGAGATCCCAGAACTGCTTTCAGTGCCGTCCTCTGCCCGAGACTGGTTATGCACCGAGGTCATCTGTGTTCGGGGCCGTAGGAGGCGGTGACCTTCCAGGACGTGGCTGTGGTCTTCACGGAGGAGGAGCTGGGGCTGCTGGACGCTGCCCAGAGGAAGCTGTACCGGGACGTGACGCTGGAGAACTTCCGGAACCTGGTCTCCGTGGGTGAGGACGGGCCCTGTGATGGACCTGACCCTCTGTGCTGTGTGTGTCCTTGATGGGTGGGGCTTTGGAGCCCTGTGGCTGGTTGCCAGTTTTCTTTTTTTAATATATTTTTTTTAATATATTTTTATTGATTTCAGAGAGGGAGAGGAAGAGAGAGATAGAAACATCAGTGATGAGAGAGAATCATTGATCGGCTGCCTCCTGCACACCCACACTGGCCATTAGGCCCACAACCTGGGCATGTGCCCTTACCCGGAATCAAACCCAGGACCCTTCAGGCCTCAGGCCAATGGTCTGTCCACTGAGTCAAACCGGTTAGAGCAGGGTTATGATTTTACTTTATTTTATTTATTTTTTTAATATATTTATTGATTTTTCAGAGAGAGGAAGAGAGAGGGATAGAGAGCTACAAACATCGATGAAAGAGAACCAGAAACACCGATGAGAGAGAATCATCGATCAGCTGCCTCCTGCACACCCCCTACTGGGGATGTGCCCGCAACCAAGGTACATGCCCTTGACTGGAATTGAACCCGGGACCTTTCAATCCGCAGGCCGATGCTCTATCCACTGAGCCAAACCGGTCCCGGCTAGGTTTATGATTTTAAAGGTAACAAAACACTCACACTTCTAAGGAGCCAAATTAATATTAGAAGATTAATTCAAGCTAGGAGTCACACCATACCAATTGGAAACAGCCTGGGTTTAAACTCTGCCCTGCTTCTATTTAAAAAACAATTTCTTATTGATTTCAGAGAGGAAGGGAGAGGGAGAGAGAGCTAGAAATATCACACATCAATGATGAGAGGGAATCATTGATCGGCTGCCTCCTGAACGCCCCCTACTGGGAATAGAGCCCACAACCCGGGCCTGTTCTCTTGACCAGAATTGAGTCTGGGACCCTTCAGTCCGCAGACCGATGGTTCTGTCCACTGAGCCACACCGGCCAGGGCTGTCCTGCTTCTTGTCACCCCCGCCAATAGACACTGATTTGAGTCAGAGTCTGTGGAATACCGCAGCGGTCTGTGTCCCTCTCACTCTTCGATTTTGCTCTTTTTTCAATGAATTCTCCCAAGGGATTTTATGAGTGTTTGTCAGATCTTGTTGGTCCTCTGCTCAAAACCTCTATTAGCTTCTTATCTGATTCAAAGTAAAATCCAGGTACGTAAAGTGGCTTATAGTGTGCTCCACATGGCTCTGCCCCCTGCCCCCATCCCTCTATAAACGTGACCTGTCACTTTCCCCTTTGGGCTCTTTGCTGTGCCACGCATGCCTCCACCTTGTCCCCCTCTTTTTGTTCTTCCTGTCAGGAGCACTGTTTCCTCTGCCATTCTCCCAGCTCCTCCCTTACCTCTCAAAGGGCTTTTCTCCAATGTTAGCCTCATATGAGAGGCCTCCATGACCCCTCTGTGCATAATACCTTCTTCCTCTACTCCCTTCCCTTACCCTGTCTTAGTTGATATCTAAGCACTTACCATATTAACATATATTTTTATTTATCTTACGTTATTCCATTGGAATACAATCTTAGGAGCAGAGAAATTCTGTTTTCTTTATTGCTTTATCCTCACTATATAGAACAGAGTTGGAAGAGGGCAGGTGTGCTATAAATATTTTTCAAATATATGAATGAGTTATTGATGGTTACGTAGACCATTTTCCATTAGTCTCTGAGACCCGTAAAGGGTGGTAATAAAAAACGTGTGCCCTGGCCGGGGCGGCTCCCGGTTGGAGTGTCGTCCCATGCGCGGAAGGGTCACAGGTTCTGTTCCCGGCCAGGGAACATACCCAGCTTGCGGTTCCAACCACAGGAGGCAACTAATCAATGCTTCTCTTTCACATCAATGTTCTTCTCTTTCTCTCCCTAAAAAAAGTAAACAAAAGCACATCCTCAATGAGGACTTTTTAAAAAACTGTGATGAAGACATAGTCTAGAACACTTTTTCCCCCTTGACGAATGTCTAATTTTATTAGGTGCTTTTGGATATAGATAGAAAAGCTTAGCTTTTCATTGGTAACCAACTTGATTATCGTTTTCCCCCTGTGGTTTTTCTGCAGCCTCTAGTAGCGCCTCATACTGTCTTGGTTAAGAACTGCTCTTTCGAATGAAGATTCTTTTTTCTTTTTTTTAATTCATACTGTTTTGTTTTCTTTTTAATATATTTTATTGAATTTTTACAGAGAGGAAGGGAGAGGGATAGAGAACCAGAAACATTGATGATAGAAACATCGACCAGCTGCCTCCTGCACACCCCCACCGGGGATGTGCCCGCAACCAATGTACATGCCCTTGACCGGAATTGAACCTGGGACCTTTCAGTCCCCAGGCCGACGCTCTATCCACTGAGCCAAACTGGTTTCAACTCAAATGAAGATTCTTAATAGCTATTTTATATAGAGGTGCCTTTACTGCTTCCAAAGCACCTCTGGTATTTTCCTATTTTGTTAATGTTCCTCAAAAGCAACTAAGTTCATTTCACGTTCACTACCTCCCGCCTTCAGCTTAAAAACCGTTGGTGTGGTCCATGTGGAACATGTATCTCTACCCATCATTTTGAGAGTCTACTTTCACGGACATTATTCCCAGGGCTCTAAATGTTGACTTCTGCTTGATAAAGGAAATATTTTGCACACACCGAAAGGAAATACGTACAAAAACCAAAGAAGCCAACAGTCCAGAGGCCCCACGGCCACTTTTATCCTTGATGATTCTAGAGACGGAGGAAGGGAAAGGGAGAGAGAAAAAAAATCCATGTGAGAGAGAAACATCAATTGGTTGCTTCTCAGTATGTGCCCCAACCAGGGATGGGACCATCCACCTGGGTATGTGCCCTCACACAGAATTGAACCCGAGTCCCTTTGTGCACAGGACGCTGCTCTGATCACTGAGCAACACTGGCCTGGGCGAGAGAGTGATGTATATTCCTGTATCACCCCACTCCTATTGTCCTTCTGAAGGCTGTTTCCCAGCAGGGGGTGAAGGACATTCTCTGCTTACATTCTGAACTTCAGACACGTGGATGTATAAGGCTTTTTTCCCCCAAACGTGTCTTTCCAACCAGCTCAGTGTATCAAAGGCTCCGAACATTGGAGTAAACTTCCAATAAAATAATTCAAAGCACAGGTTTTCAACATTGCCTGCTAATGTATCTGGAGGAGTTTCCCTAGACATTCTGAGCATTTTGGTCCGATGTGCCTATAGCAGGCAGAAGAGGAGGCTTTGAGTAAGGTGCAGCTTCATCGTTGAAGTCTTTTTTTTTTTCTTTTTTCCAAAACATTTGTAAAAAACTATATTTGTTGTGCTCTGTATAAACCTTTTTTTTGTTTTTTAACATATTTTATTGATTTTTTACAGAGGAGGAGAGAGGGATAGAGAACTAGAAGCATCAATGAGAGAGAAACATCGACCAGCTGCCTCCTGCACACCCCCTACCGGGGATGTGCCCGCAACCAAGGTACATGCCCTTGACCGGAATCGAACCTGGGACCTTTCAGTCTGCAGACCACTGAGCCAAACCGGTTTCGGCTGTATAAACCTTTTATACTAAATAAATATCAAACTATATTCTTCTCAAAGATGTTGCTAGTATTTCTGAGGCCTCTTCCGTAAGTAGTATGCACAGTGAAACCATTTTGCAAAAGCAGTGACTTACGGAGCCAACCCTAATGCTTTGTTAAAGCTTTTCTCTGTTTTTAGCTAAAAATCATAGGGTTCTTCCTGCTTTTGTGTAAAGTTTATTCAGGGTAAAATATGGACACCTTTAAAAAAACAGAAATGATGTAGAAATTCAAAATCCTTTTGATTCAATTTTTTTATGTTTCATAAAAAAGAAGGTGTGAGGGGCAGGGGGAATAATGCAAGACCCAGAATTTGGAGTGGTTGGTGTGTCTCCCTTCTTTTTACTTTTTGATTGGCTGTCTATGTGCCAGTGGCGATGTAGCTGAACTGTTTATGCTGCCACCACTGCCTCTATCCATGTGATGCTGCAGGGACCACACCTGCAGCCGCCTGGGACTGCATAAAACTTCCTACTCCAGCCCTGACCGGTTTGGCTCAGTGGATGGAGCATTGGCCTGCGGACTGAAGGATCCCAGGTTCCATTCCAGTCAAGGGCATGTATTTTTGTTGCAGGCACATTCCCAGGTGGGGAGTGTGCAAGAGGCAGCTGAATTGATGTTTCTTGTCGATGTTTCTAACTCCCTATCCCTCTCCTTTTCTCTCTATAAAAAATCAAATATACACACACACACACACACACACACACACACACACACACACACACATATATATATATATATATATATATATATATATATATATATGCCTTCCTACTCGTGCGAGATTGATCACAGCAGCAGGCCGAGCAGATAAGGCCTGTTCTTGAGCCATAGAGCCTTGCTCAAGAACCCTGCTTCCCTGCTTGCTGAGGACTAGAAGTTGTAGGTGGATTTGTCGAGGAAGTATTTTTCTTGCTCTGCAGCCCCAAATGTATAACCTGAGGCTCACTTTTGAAACCTAGTACAATTCCTAAATGTGTCTTGTTAGTGAGTAGTGATTGGGAGCCTGGTGGACCATCTCTGGGTTCCCAGAGTCATGTAAATCAGAGAACATGATGCACGATAATAAAAATGTGGCTTTCTCCTGGTTCCGTAAAGCCTCGGGGTGTTGGCCTACGTTTATATATAACCTTGGCATTTCTGAACAAAAGCATCCACATGCCCACCTCAAAATTCTCTTTATTCTTTTAGGAGACAAGAGTCTAAGTAACGTGGAGGTTATTCGAGAAATTGGATTAAGGAACCTGCCACATGAAGAATTTTTCTACTCAAAAATCTGGCAACAGGTTACCAAGGGTTTAACCAGATGTCAAGACTCCACAGCAAACATTCAAGGAACTGGCTCTCCGTTGGAAAAACAAAGTGATGCGCCCCATAAATATGAGGGATCCGGTAAAGGCTTCAATCAGAGTTCGCATCTTCAGGTTCACCACAGAATCCACAGTGGAACAAAACGCTACAAAGGAGAGATGTGCAAAAAAAGTTTTATTCAGGACTCTTGTCCTCAAATTAATAAGATGGCCGATGCGGGAGAGAAGCCCTATAAATGTGAAAAATGTGAAAATGCCTTCCATCGGTTTTCAAGTCTTCAAGCCCATCAGAGAGTCCACAGAAGAGAGAAACCGTATAAATATGACACATCATGTAAGAGTTTTAGTCAGAGGTCATATCTTCATCATCACCAGAGAGTTCTTACAGGAGAAAATCCACACAGATTTGAGGAGTGTGGGAGAAATGTTAAGCAAAACTCACATTGTCAAACTTCTCTGCTAACACACACATCAGAGAAACCATATAAATGTGAGGAGTGTGGGGAGGGCTTCAGTCAGAGGGCATATCTTCAAGCCCATCAGAGAGTTCACGTGGGAAAGAAACCTTACAAATGCGAAGAGTGTGGGAAGGATTTCCATTGGCTTTCGCGACTGCAGGCTCATCAGCTAATGCACACGGGTGAGAAACCATACAAATGCGATGCGTGTGGCAAGGGTTTTCGTTGTAGCTCACACCTTAATGCTCATTGTAGAATCCACACAGGAGAGAAACCCTATAAATGTGAGGAGTGTGGGAAAGGCTTCATTGCACGCTCACAGCTTCAAGTCCATCAGAGAGTCCACACTGGAGAGAAACCCTACAAATGTGAGAGGTGTGGGAAGGTCTTTGGTCAGGCCTCAAATCTCCTAGACCATCAAAAAGGCCACAGCGGTGAGAAACCACATCAGTGTAATGCCTGTGGGAAAGGCTTCCGTCGGAGTGCAGAACTGAAGGCTCACTGCAGAATCCACACGGGAGAAAAACCCTTTAAATGTGAGGAGTGTGGGAAGGGCTTCAGTCAGCTCTCAAATCTTCGAGACCATCAAAGATGCCACACTGGAGAAAAACCACACAAGTGCAGTACGTGTGGGAAGGTGTTCATTCGGAGGTCAGAACTGAAGGTTCACTGTAGAATCCACACAGGAGAGAAACCCTATAAATGTGAGGAATGTGGGAAGGCCTTCATTCAGTCCTCAACTCTTCAATTGCACAATAAAAGAGCCCACACGGGAGAGAAACCGTATCGGTGTGCGGAGTGTGGGAAGGGCTTCATTGTGGGGACTCAGCTTCATCTCCATCAGAGGGTCCACACTGGAGAGAAACCATATAAATGTGAGGAGTGCGGTAAGTTCTTTACTAGGAGCTCAAACCTTCAAGCCCATCAGAGAGACCACTCTGGAGAAAAGCCGTACAAATGTGAGGAGTGTGGGAAGGGCTTTAATGGCGTGTCACACCTTCATATCCATCAGAGGGTCCACACTGGAGAGAAGCCATATAAATGTGAGAGGTGTGGCAAGTTCTTTGGTAGGAGCTCATACCTGCACGCCCATCAGAGAGTCCACACTGGAGAAAAGCCGTACAAGTGTGAGGAGTGTGGGAAGGGCTTCAGTTGGAGCACAAGTCTTAAAGCTCATCAGCGAGTTCATGCTGCTGATGAGGGTGATAAAGACTTTCCCTCATCAGAGAACACATACAGGAAAGGAGCTCGGTAAAATTACATGTTTTCATACCTCAGAATGGGTGATAAAACAGTCCAGTGATCATCCCTGTTATAGAAAAAACTTTCGTTTGAAAGAGTCAGCACTTCAGCCAGAGCTCAACATGTCACAGTGGTTGGGTGACCAAAGCAGAGAAGCCTCATGAGAGTGGAGACATACCGGTAAGGACTTCGTGCAGAACCTTGACAGTTAGCAGATATTACACAGAAGAGAGGCATAGAAAGGATGCTCTGATCTGAAGTTAACTAACCGCTAAGATGAAATGCTAGAAACTGCCAAAACTGGTTTGGCTCAGTGGTAGAGCGTCGGTCTGCGGACTGAAAGGTCCCAGGTTCGATTCCGATCAAGGGCATGTACCTTGGTTGCAGGCACATCCCCGGTAGGGGGTGTGCAAGAGACAGCTGGTCGATGTTTCTCTCATCAACGTTTCTAGCTCTCTCCCTCTCTGTAAAATATCAATAAAATATATATATATTTTTTAAATGCTAGAAACTCCTTTAGCATGGGTGGGGAACGTCTGGCCTGTGGGTTGGATAAGGCCCACAAAATCATTTGGTCTGGCCCTGTTTGACCAAACATAGGCTAATTTTTAAGTTGATAATTTATATGGTTCATGAGCGATGTTATAAATGTTCAAATGGCCCTTGGCAGAAAAAAAGGTTCCCCACCCCTGCCGAAGAATGTAAGTGTGAAGAGGGTAGCAACTGCCGAAACCGGCTTGGCTCAGTGGTAGAGCGTCGGTCTGCGGACTGAAAGGTCCCGGGTTCGCCTGCGTTCAGGTTGAAGGGGGGGAAGGAGCAATGCAGCCAATTCGGGTACCAGAGTGTTATGTCCGTCATCGCAGTGGACTCGGAGAGGCTCCTGTGTCCCTTCACCCAGACGACAGCAAAGTGGGAGAAGGGAACTGAAGGCTACGCAAGGGACTGAGGTGCCAACATGGAGTCATCTGAAGAAATTAAAGACTGAGTGGAAGCTACTTCTTTAATCATGTTCCTGCTCATGCTAGCATCTGTTAGCTTCCAGTCTTCTGCCAAGTCTTGTGCAGCAAATCCAAGGACTCTGAGTAAATCTACACCAGCAACAAAAGAGACTCATGTAGTAGCTAAAAATATTAATATGTCCATAATTCTGATTTCTCATTTTGTTGTTTTGCACTGGCATTGTTGTTATTATTTAATAGCCAGAGTTTTGCTCTTGACATTCAAGTTTTGAAAATAACATGTTATTTATATGTTAGTTTAGTTTTTGCATTGGCAAAAAAATTTTTTTTTTAAATCTGAAGACCAGAATAAACTGGTGAATATAATGGAATCAGGGGCAAAGAAAGGAAGTGGATTGATAATTATCAGGGGGAAAGGGATCTGGGTGTGCAGAAAGAGACTTGATTAAAATCATATAACCTATAGATGAGGACAATGGCGAGGGGGGCGGGGGAGATAAGGGCAGAGGGTGTGGTAGGAACCTGGTGGAAGGGAGCTATGGGGGTGGGGGGAGGAGAAACAAGTGTAATCTGAGCAATAAAGATTTATTTAAAAAAAAAAAAAAAGGTCCCGGGTTCGATTCCGGTCAATGGCATGTACCTTGGTTGCGAGAATATCCCCAGTAGGGAGTGTGCAAGAGGCAGCTGATCGATGATTCTCTCTCATCGATGTTTCTAACTCTATTCCTCTCTCTTCCTCTCTGTAAAAAATCAATAAAATATATTAAAAAAAAAAAAAAAAAAAGAGGGTAGCAACTTTGTTGACTGCCAAATCTACGCTGCCTTTTTAGTGCTTAACACATTGTGGGTGTTCAGTAATTTTTCCCATTGATTTTCTAGAGAGAGTGTTAGGAAAGGAAGGAGAGAGAGAGAGAGATTGATGTGAGAGAGACGTGTCAATTGGTTGCCTCCCACACATGGAACCTGCAATCCAGGTACATGCCTTTGACCAAGAATCAAACCCAAGCCAAAACCGGTTTGGCTCAGTGGCTAGAGTGTCGATCTGCAGACTGAAAGGTCCCAGGTTTGATTCCGGTCAAGGGCATGTACATTGGTTGCGGGCACATCCCTGGTAAGGGGTGTGCAGGAGGCAGCTGGTTGATGTTTCTCATCAATGTTTCTAGCTCTCTATCCCTCTCCCTTCCACTCTGTTAAAAAAAGAAAGAAAGAAAAACCCGAGACCCTTCAGTTCTAAGGCTGGCGCTCAAACCACTGAACAACACTGGTCAGGGCCAGTAATTGTTAAATGCATAAAAGAGAACAGCCATATTTGAAATTTCTATTCAGTTCATCTATAAATATTTATATAAGTTTGTACTTAAAAGAGGAATTCTGCAAGGTTTGGAGGACATTTAAATTAGACACATGGGCACATTGACCAATCTGCAGTTCCTGTGAACTAGTGTTTATCAAACTGAGGGTTGCAAACTATTAGTAGGTCCAGAAATCCTTTCAGCTGATATGACCAGCACTTTTGTATGCTAACAATTGAAATTTGCATGCATATTATAATTTGAAGTAAAAATCTCAAGGTTAGGGAGGAACCAAGATGGCGGCATAGACAATCACCTGTACTTACTGCCTCACACAACCACATCAAAACTCCAAGTAAAAGACAGAATGCTATCATCCAGAACCATGGGAAGGTTGGCGCAGTGGAACTTCTGTAACTAGAAGGAAAGAGAAAAGCAAATTGAGATGCGTAGGAGAGGCAGAAGTGCCGAGGTAGAGGTGTGTGTGGGGAAATGGGCTGGCAACTGGGAAAGCTGTTGTCTCTTTCAGTCAGGAGGGAGATACAAGCTCCCAATTGCTCTAAACTTCAGTTCCGGGTGAGTCTTATGGACCCAGACTCATACGGGGAGAAACTAGACTGTCTGGCATCGGGGCAGGAAGACAAGGGCAGCTTTCTCATAGAGGTGCTTGCAGCAATCATTGTTCCTGCACAGGGTCATGGGAAACAGATACCCAGGACCTCTCAGAGGCAGGGCTGACTAGCAACTATTGCCGTTTGCTCCACCCTGATGATTCCCTGAGACCCACCCCACCCAATTTACACCACCCAAGCTGTGAGCAGAGGTTTTTGTATATAAATGGACTGTTCTTTTGCAATCTAAATCCTAACTGCTTCTGCGTCAATGAGTGCCAAAACTTCTAAAAGAAGGACTAAGATTGGAGAGCAGTCTGCATTGCTTCACAGCTGGGCCTCATCTGGGCACTTCTAAACCCCAAACAGAGAGGAGGAATCTGCAGATCTCTCTGTAGCTCCTACTGGGTGGCCTCAGGCAGTGGCTGACTTCACCTCCTTTTAGATCCAACAGCCAGTGTACCCAGTGGTCAGGGAGAGATCATCCAGATTACAATTCTTTTTTTTTAAATATATTTTATTGATTTTGTACAGAGAGGAAGGGAGAGAGACAGAGAGTTAGAAACATCGATGAGAGAGTCATCGATCAGCTGCCTCCTGCACACCCCCCACTGGGGATATGCTCGCAACCAAGGTACATGCCCTTGACCAGAATCAAACCTGGGACCCTTCAGTCCCCAAGCCGACGCTCTATTCATTGAGCCAAACCGGTCTTGGCCCAGATTACAATTCTTCACAATGAAGCAATTAAGAGGTAGACTCAATGAGCACCGAAGCCCCACTGAAGCAAGTCATGCCCCATAAGGGCGTCTCCAGCACAGCAGTTCTCCCATTATAAACACAGCTAGTTCTCACAACCAATTGGCCAGGTGGTTTATTCCTCTCAGTGATACCAACAACAATTAAGGTTTAACTACAACAAGACTGTGCCCACAGCCCACAAAGGAGTGCACCAAGAGTGTCCACCTCAGGTAATTAGGGAGGCTGAGCACTGGGCCCTATAGGACACCCAGCACAAAAAGCCACTTTATCAACACAGGGAAGCAGCCAAAATGCAGAGACTGAAACATGTCACAAAGGAAAGAAATGGAGGAAAGCAAACAACTGGATATAGAGTTCAAAACCATAGTTTTAAGGTTATTCAAGAATCTTCTAGAAACCTCTGAGAAATTTAGTAAGACCCTCGAGGATATGAAAAAGGACCAACTAGAAATTAAGCATTCACTGACTGAATTAAAGAATAATATACAGAGATCCAACAGTAGACTAGAGGATCCCATGAATCTAGTCAAAGATTTGAAATACAGAGAAGCAAAAAATACCCAACCAGGAAAGTAAAAAGAATCCAAAAATATGAAATAGTGTAAGGAGCTTCTGGGACAACTTCAAGCCTACCAACATCCAAATTATGGGGGTGCCAGAAGAGAGAGGACAAGACATTGAAAACCTATTTGAAGAAATAATGACCAAAAACTTTCCCCACCTGCTGAAAGAAATAGACTTACAAGTCCAAGAAGCACAGAGAACCCCAAACAAGAGGAATCCAAAGAGGACCACACCAAGACACACCATAATTAAAGTGCCAAGGGCAAAAGTCAAAGAGAATATTAAAAGCAGCAAGAGAAAAATAGTTACCTACAAAGGAGTACACATAGAACTATCAGCTAACTTCTCAATAGAAACTATGCAAGCCAGACAGGAATGGCAAAAAATATTCAAAGTGATGAATAACAAGAACTTACAACCAAGATTACAAGCAAAGCTATCATGTAGAATTGAAGGTCAGCTAAAGAGCTTCATAGATAAGAAAAAGCTAAAGGAGTTTATCACCATCAAACCAGTATTACATGAAATGCTGAAGGATATTCTTTTTTTAAAATATATTTTATTGATTTTTTACAGAGAGGAAGAGAAAGGGATAGAGAGTTAGAAACATTGATGAGAGAATCATCAATCAGCTGCCTCTTTCACACTCCCTACTGGGGATGTGCCTGCAACCAAGGTACATGCCCTTGATCGGAATCGAACCTGGGACCCTTCCATCTGCAGGCCGACACTCTATCCACTGAGCCAAACCGGTTTCGACTGAAGGATATTCTTTAAGAAGAGGAAGAAGAGGAAAAAAAAGGTAAAGGTAAAATTTATGAACAACAAAGTGACAAGAAATACATATCTATCAACGGGTGAATCTAAAAAT